ACCAAGAGTGAAACAAGAATTGTACGAATTTGGAATTAGCAGGTTAAAAGATACTCAAAATTCCAAATGAACCCACTAAACTGTAAGCGGTAAAGCTTTTAGGACAAGAAAAGACCAAGTTTTGGTTTCCTCTCCCCTCTGAGGGAGTCTAAAGTTGAGGTAACTTGGTTTGTGTGCGAACCAAAGAGCCGATCTATTAGAGAGTAAAATACGACGGCGGTATTCGATCTGTGGCGGGGTGCAGATTTATGGCGGGCCCCGGCACATAAACCTGTCTGCTCTAATCTCATGGTATACACAGCATAATCACACACACACACACACACTGGGGGCCACCAGTGCCCCCCCGCCCCACGTTTTAATGTACACACGCTGTCAAACGCACGGCGGGAGGGAGAACCCACTCTAAAGAGTGGCAAACCGATTGGCCACAGGAAGAATACATGTTCTATAAGACGCTGGCTCCCGCTGGGCCTCAGCACCTGCAGGCCGTCGAGGAACTGTCTACGAAGAGTTTGCAGGGTTTTCTGGGGGGGGGGGGTCGATTTCCAAACGACGAGGAGAAAACACACACACTCAGTGGAAAACGTCCATTTTGATCATCCGAGCTCCTGCCTGACGCTCCGGCGGCTCTGCACCACAACTCAGCTTTCATTAATCAGAAGCCTGCAGCCTGAGAAATGGGAGCTCAGGTATGAATGCTGTGATTGAAAAGATCTGGAAATGTAAAATTATCTCACTCCGCTTACGCACCGTTTCAACCCTTTTTTTTTTTAAAGAAAAAATATTGTTTCAAGCCTGAGTGCTGGATTAAATCACATTTATTTTTGCCGGAGCACCCACGCAGAAAGGGGTAAGGGTGGTGGTTTGTGTGGGGGGGGGGGATCCATTTCCAGTCCTCTGCTGGAGCAATCAGAAGCCTCCTGTACGTCTCAACGGCTCCGAAACCCCAACAATATTTAATGTAGAACACATGCTGGAGTGTATATAAAACACGAATCGCTCAATTTGTCTCGCTCTGACCTGTTCTGTTCGGCACGTCTCGCCTACATCTCTCCTGTCTGAGCGGGTTTACCATAAAAGATTCAGGAGCTTTTAAATTTTACTCATGTTGTGCTTTCTTTTTTTTTTTTTTCTTCTTATCTTGACCTCATCTTTGATCAGTTCTGGGAGTGCAAGGAGTGTTTCTGTGAATGTATAAAAAAACCCAGTCTGTAGGTTGAACTTAAGGCCTTGCATCAAAAATGATAATATAATCTGGAAATCCCTCAGAACGTGAGGTCATACTGTCATATTTTAGAGGATTAATAAGGGTGTCGATGCAGAAGCACTGGATCAGCCTTATTATTACTGCTGGCTTCTTATGCTTACATTTGCAGTTTTGGAAAATCCAACATGAGAAAAACACTAAAACATGTGGCTCAATCAGGAATAGTGTGGTGTGACTTTTGGTAGCATTACATCATATGACATAAACGATAAAAAAAACTGGTAAACATTTCCACATTAACTTTGACATTTTGGCAAAACGAGTAACCAAACCCAGCAGTTTGGAGCTCCGCAGCACAAAGCAGCGCAGTTTCTCAGAAGAAACGGGTCACAGAAACATGGATTTACACGTCGGAACTGACATTTTGATATCTTCTGTGGTTTTTGCAAACAAACTTCTCTTTTAGTACAGTTTATAGTCCAAAATGGTGGCACTGTTGTATTATCTAACTTGTTTGTCTTGCATGTACAGGGTTTAGTTTTCTCTCAAATTGCAACAAAATGGTGTCCACTATCAAAAAGAAAAAAATTGTATAGGTCTTCTGGACGGGTTCTTGTCTAATGAAACGTTTCGTCTCTCCTCCAAGAGACTTCTTCAGTCTGAGAGTTTCAGGCAAAATTCAGGCTTTTAAGCACTGCCTCCATGTGACTGATACTTCGGTATCAGACTGGTTCACCCCAAAGATCCGGTGCCCCGGCACAAACAGAGCAATATTGTAT